AGGAACTGAACAAGATTACCCTGAAGAACTATTACCAGCTCCCCCTGATTAAATCAGCCTTTACCCCATAGCATAATTCTACAGTATATTCTCTAAACCGGATCTGCATAATACCTACCATCTAGTATGCATCCAGGAAGGGGATGAGAGGAAAACGGCTTTCAACACACACCTTGGGCACCTCAACTACCGTGTGATGCCATTTGGTCCAGCCAATGCACGGACGAAGGTATTGTTGGTGGTCCTCTATGGATGTCAAAGATTTTGTTGCAGCCTGCGCCACCAGTGCCCGTAACAAGCCATCTCACCAGATCCTGCAGGCCTTCTTCAGGCCTTCCTTCCTGTACCTCATCGGCCATGGTCCCATATCACAGTGGATTTTGTCACAGGAATACGAACAGCAGAGGGAACAGCACCATCCTCACCGTTGTGAACCGCTTCTCTAAAGCGGTTCATATTGAAGTGTGTATACTGCCCATATTTACGGTAGTCATACTGTATCACTTTCCCAAGCCCGCAGCGTAACTTTGCGTCCTTGAAGCAATCATCACTTAATATTGGTACACTCCTTACTGGAGACCTTGTAGAGTCACACAGACCATAGGAATGTGCCAGTTGATACAAGCTAAGAATCTGTTTAGGAGAAACGAAAGTACTGATGCCTCACCGTGAGTTTCAGTACTGCCCTTCTGATGATATAAATATGTTGTGACTCCTTTGTTTCTTTGCACTCGTGATCCGCAGCCATTGTCTGTAAACCACGGGTGTCCAGAATGTTCTGCAAATAAACCCTTCAAAGGTACTGTTCATCGTCTCCAGCCTGTATTTGGATGACCAACATCCTCATCATCTGAAATTAAAGAACACGCGGAGGAAGAGAAAGGCCATCTTCCCGCCCCCCCAACAATGTCATTCCACTCCTCTCTGCTTTCAAAACCGCAAATCTGATTGGGACACACGTGGTCAGTATACATGCCATCCCCCTTGGGCATTGTGTCCGATCGTGGCCCCCCAATTCACTTCCAAGGTTTAGGGGCCACAGGCAGTTAAACGTCTTGTTTTCATCCCCAGTCCAATGGCCAGTCAGAGCGCACCAACCAGGACCTTGAGAATGCCCTCTGCTGTGTCGAATCATGCAGTCAAGTTTTAATTGATTGCTCCCTCCCGCAGGCTGGTTGGTGGTGGCTGATCAGATGCACCTGTGCAAACCTCCACTACAAATGCCTGAGCTGCTCACTGTAGTTTGCCGGTCCGTCGTGGCTGAAGGGTCACAGAAACCCCTTCAGGCTCAAGCTGTGTAATTCACTAGATTGTGTTCAAGTCTGCTCTGTTTTTACCAGCCCTGGGAACACATAGACAGGTGGAGATCACAACCTCGCCTTCTGCACACTAAAGACTTTCCTGCTCATCTGTAACTTGCCTCTGCCTGTCTGATCTGCTGATGCTACTTCACCTTGGCTATTGCATCAATAATGTAATTTCTGCCATTTGAGTCCAAAAACTGTGTATGAGCTTAACACAAGTATTACGATAGACAACATTTATATTACATATACAAAGACACCTTGAGTACGTCAACGGGGCAGCCGTATTGGATGGGGCAAAGTGCAGCGAATTGTGAATATGCTTCCTCTTTGGAGATGTATCATCAAGCAAAATCTCACTGGATTGATACGGAATGATTGCTTTTGAATGTATGATGATATCCTAAGTTTTACAATACTATTTGCTGAATGTATGGCTAATATTAGAGCCACATACAATATATCGTATGGGTTGGCATATCGCTTCGACTCAGTTCAACGATCGTCTGCTTTATGGCTTCCATGGAATCTTGTATTAAAACGGTTCAAATGCCTCTTTCATTGCTGACACTAATGTGATATGTCCTTTATCACTTGCCATACAATGATGCAACATGACAGTTTAAAGTAAACCCATAGTGTAGGAATCTAAACATTGCCTCATGTGCCAAAACTGTGGTCGATGGTCACCAAATTTTATGTTGATATATTTACTTGTACTCACATCAACCTCTGATAATAGAATGATCGAATGTTTTCCTCTTCACTTATGTCACTTCACGAGAGAAACGCGTCCATAAAATACAAAACACATGACATGTCTAGCATTACACAATGCCACAATTTGAAAAATGTGCAGGACTCTCTAGTGCAAAAATTGACGTATTGATCGCATACGCACGCCCGTGTATAAAACCTTATTTTCAGGAACACAGTCATTGGTTGTTGCAGATAAGACTGGCCATCAATCAAAAAAACGACATCACTGTTCACATTTTTAATGTCTTAGTGATCAGCATAAAATAGCTACTATGATAAAATAAAAACGTTACTTTTAGAAAGCCGTGCCTCAAATGGCAGGCCACAAGCATCTTTGTGGGCGGGCACCAAGAGACATAAAACACAGCCATCTTTCTTCACCGGCTGGGTTTATTGTTAGAGA